AAAGGGGCAAAACTATATAACGAATATATATAAAAAACCTTTAAACAGCTCCCAGCTACGTACCAAGTGTCTTAGCTCGGCCCGTCCCCTTCCGTTAGTCACGGCCTGGACAGTCCTCATGGCACGTATCTGTTTAAGTATTGGATATTACGTCATCGACTCCTAGGATAGGTCTCCTGTGCATTATAATATAATTTACCGTTCGTTCGTAATTTTCGGTTGTGGCCATTTCTAATCGCTAAATGCATGATGGATCCATAAATAATGGTCTAGCGTAGGTTCACTCTGAATCTTTCGCGGCTTCAAAAAGTCATCTTTTGTATACTGAAGACTCAGTTGGGCAGCCCATGCAAGATCTATGACAATTCTTCCAACGTTAGTTAAGCTCTATAGAGCCACATTGGTAGTGTAGTGGGAGACCATATGCGAAATTGTGGTGCTGCAATCTTTTTGTGATTCAAAATTCGCATTCTTTTTCGTCACCAATCAATTACATGATGCGAATCGCAGACAAGTAAGCCTGTGAATAGTGGGAAAATTTTTGTGAATGGAAATCGCAATTCATCTGTGAGCATTTTTCCGACAGAACGAAGCTATATCTGAATCAGTAACAAACTGATGTGCGTTCTTGGGAGAAGGAATACACGGCTAACTCGCAGTGTTTATTACTAGACATATTTCACGCAGCCCTTTATGCAAGCGATTGCAGGGTGAAGCTCAGTTGCTAAATTTGTAATAATTCAAGAAGCTGAACACGCTCAGGATCATCCAAGTCCTGCCTTTTGCTACCTCAAAATGAATTTGCAACCGTGTGACGCCATTTTCATCATTGAATACTGCATGTACTTCGGTGACTGATCAGTCATCCGAAAGAGGTAATCGCTCAGCGTAGCCGCGATGAACCATCTTATCTTCGTGTATCTCGTCAATTTGGAGATTCTACTTTATTCCAAGACCAAAACGACAACAGCTGTGTATCCTACACACACCACAGTTTTCTCCTGAATTTAAAGAGTATCTTTTAGAATCTTCTGTGTTGAACAGAAAATACATACACAGCAATGGTTGGATGCGTCACTTCGGGGGTTTCCCAGCTCTTCAGCACTTTGTCTTTGATAAGCTGGATCTGTGCACAGGCACCCCAGATTTTTTCGAACTATACCACGAAGTCAACCGAAGGAATCTCGCCGCTGTTCCTTCTACTATGGTTCATGGGTGACTTTCTCAGCTTCACTAGTTGTCTTCTCAATGATGCAGCTCTAAGCTTTCAAATCTACTTGAGCATGTTTTTTTTAGCAAATGACTTGACGTTGTGCTACCAATACTATTACTATAACAGCATCTACCCACGAAAATACTTAGTCCAGGTGGCAAAAGGAAAAAGTATTTGTAATGACTCGGAAGCACTGAACCTGACGGAGATTTACAAAGAAGCAGGGGCCATAAATATTCGCCACGGAAGAACCACAAGAAAATATTCACCTGATTATTCCCTTCTATTGAACCTGGGAAGAACGTCCAAAGAATCCATTCATAGCCCCTCTTCCAGTCTTTCATCTGCGGGAATTAGCCCAAGAGGGACCACGGGTTTTGGTGCCGCAGGAACGTCGCCGAAATGGGGGAAAATCGCAACTGCAGCAGGGACTTTGATGAATCTTGGCGTCACACAGGCCAAAGCCACCGGTGATATATCCGGGGCTTTGGTTCTGTCATACAAAGAGATTCTTGGGCTTGTGCTTGCCTGGGGCTGTACGTGCGTATATGTGAGCTCACGGTGTCCGCAGCTCTACAAGAACTATCTTCGGAAATCCGTTGATGGAATTTCACCACTTCTCTTTGGCTCAGCCCTCCTTGGTAATTTGATGTACACATCATCTGTGTTGACAAGTTGTGAGTTTGTGTCATCAGGTGACAGAATGTCCTTTTTTTGGAAGCAGTTGCCTTATTTGTTGGGCAGCTCAGGAACCATAGTCTTTGACATTGGGTACTTTTACCAGAGGTACATATACAGAAATGCGGCTCGTGATAACACAGAAATGGGGCTAGAGAATTGGGTGGAGGAGTATTAGCTGTTCTTCAGCTCGGTCCATTTAATCTTAGTAAAAGGGTTCTGTGGCAGAATGATGTGCCATGTTCGGATGAGTTCTTTGCATCTACATATGTTGGCTAGTCGAAAGGTCAGAGTTTTAATAGAGGGATATGTTCACAACAATGAACTGAAATAATGAGTTAGAAACACATATGGTACTTTAATATTTGAAATACCGATATTGCTCTGTTAATCAATGTCTTCAACTGTGCTACAGTGTAACATAATAGCCCAAGCTCAAAGGTGTGAGAGAGTGAAAATAGTATGAATGTCAAAAAGGGTTGATGTAAATCACTGACGTCGAAACCCAATGAGGTTTAAGTTCTTCGAAGATCGGTAAATAGAAATTTAGCTGACAATCATTCTTAAGCAAAGAGTTAAGTGTTGATAGTGTATGAAAGTCCTGGGCAGCTGCTTGGCTACTCAAGATGATAAGATGTGGCTTTATCAGACTATATGAACAAGACAATATGCCATCCTTATTCATTTACTTCAATTAAGCCTTGTGCAAACTCTTCCAATGCCTGTATTGTATCGAGTTGTTGAGTGGCAACTCCTTCAATATACCTTTAAATAGGGTGTCCACATGCGAGAAAAAGAAGCACTAGTTGTACGTGAGTAGTAATAGTCAACATTTTGAGGTAGATTTTGAATAGAGAGTATTTGAAGTCAGAGATATTCATGGAACACCTTGACTCGCACTCAATTCGGGGGCAATCCAGCAAGGAAAATGCTTTGCATCACGAATGTTCAGAACTGTGAAATTATTTGGAAGAAGAATGACGTCTTTGAAAATCAACTTTCTTTGCGTGAGATGTTGAAAGATGTCTGATTCGCGCACTGTATGTGGTGAAGACTTGGTGAAAATATCATGATGCGCTCAAGCCAACTTAATCCAATTTCAATACCTGAGATCCCCAAGCAACGACAGATCATTGACTCGTGTTTCTCGACAAATTAGAACTAGAACTTAATTTTTGAGTTTGCAGATTGTGATATAGACGCAAAGTTTTTCCAGTTTCTACATGACCTTCCGGTACATCCATTTCTGCATCGATTCCAATTTTCACTTGAGTTATGATCTATAGATACGTTGCTAGGCAATGGCGCCCAAAAAGATACAACATCACAGTCACACAAAATCCAGTGTTCACCAATAGCGTGTTCTCTCGGCACAAACTTCCAGAAAATGTGTTGGAACTTCCGCCAACCACTTATCCCAATCCGCTCTTTCGGCTCAACAAATCACAGCTCTTGGAACTAAAGCTAAAAGAGATCAAACATCTTGTGAAGATTCCACCGAGGTCTATGAGTGAAACTGATCAGTTCTACAAGAATATAATCGACATTTTCCACGAATACTTAATCAAGGACACCAAGTTGGCCGTGTTCTATCTTGACCTCATCACTGAGCCCCTGGTGCGAGAAGCGGTTTTTGAATATTTGCGCAAATTCTATGAAAAGGAGTTGCTTCGACTGTCAATTCTTGCATTTATTGAAGACCCATTGTCTCCAGCCTGTCGAAGAGCGGTCAAGTTCAATATCTACAAAATTCTAGACGACTCCAGGGAGGACCCGCAAGCTGCTGCAAACATTGCCCTCAACTATATCAGCAAATTGGCCCTCACGGGTCGTGTTAACCAGTGGACAATTTTTTTGGCAGAGGAATACCTGCTTTTGCTTTACAAGAACTTACCGAAGGAGCAATGGACGCAATTGTTCGCTGCGTTGGTTCAAACAAACATCAAGCTCAACAATATTCAGCACTACAATGTGATTAAAGATCTGCTCCTTGCTGGATCTGGGCTAGACAAGTTCGTGGCCCGTACGGGCATGCTTTGTGCCAAGTGGCATCACACTGAGGAGCCTTATTTGTCCGACACTCAAAAACAAAAAATGACACTATACTTTCTGCTAAATGAGCTTGCCAGGTTTACACAAGACATGATTCGACAGAAAGATGTGACCACCCTGAATATGTACCTTGAACTTCTAGTCACGAAATTCGAGGCCTTAAACGACCCTAATCATCTACAGCTTGTTCTTAGCATCATGCTTTCACATTCCATGGCGTTCAAGGGTCCACAGGAGTGCCTTCAATTTTTGCGCTACATCGTGGATGCTAACCTTCAGGTTGTACCCAAGACTTTGTTGCGCGTACTCACCGCATTGCGCTTGGATCAGTTTTATGATGAGGCACTTCTTCTCGTGAATTATCTTCATAAAGAGAAGCTTTGCCCAACTGAGCGTTCGAACTTGGTGTCTGAGATCATCAAAATTATTACGGGTAAATTTAGCCGCCATCCGAAAATTGCGCTTGGGTACTTTTCTTCGCTTTTCAACGACGCAAATAATAACGCACTTCGAACTCTCAAAGACTTGCTTTTGTTGGACCTCGTGTATGGTCCAGGGCTGGTAAACAGCCTGTTCGCGGTTGTTGAGCAGGCCGAGATCCACGAGGGATTGAAAAACTCGAAAATGACCCACGCGATTTTGCGTGAATTGTATGTGGTAACACTTCGAAGTTTGCCGCTTGAGCAGAGGACCAGCCCCGTTCTTATAAGCAAATTGTACGAGGAATACAAAAAGAAGATTGACGAGGCAAAAGAGACCGACGATGAACTGAGCCCTTTCAGTCAGGACCAACTTGACGAAAAGATATTGACTTTGTTTCTCGATCTTCTTGTGCGCAAGGACGCAGAAGCAAGGGACAACTTCGACCTAGTGTACGACCCTTTCAAGTTTGCCACTGCCAAGTTGATTTTCAACAACTTTTTTGAAGCACAGCCCGCGCGGAACACCATCAAAAGCACTTACATTTTTGATTTGATGATTAGCTCTGGTTTACTCAAACATCACGATTTGAGGTTCTCTCTCAGTGCATTCAAAAAGGCCAGAGATCTAGGTCTACCCATTACTTTCAATCAAGTGAATCCCCTCATCATTCACCATTACTTGAAGGGTGAAATGGACAAGGCTCAGCAGTGGTTCATGCTACTTATTCAAAGCGGTGCCAAGGCAAAGTCTGTAGCGGCGGATCGTTTGTTTGACATTGCTAAAGAGCAGAAATGGACTTATACTGGAACACGATACAGAAATGCCGTGAGAGTCAAGCTGAGAGCTGCACGTCGCGAATTTGCAAAGTTGAGCACTAACCCCACCGCCGGCCTCAACATTGGCTCGGACGTTGCTGTCTCCAGTGCATCAGACATTACCATGGGCGAGGAGCTAGAGATAATTCTCCACCAAATTGCTGCAAAAAACGCGGACGAAAACCCAAGAAAATAAGGGTATTATCCATCACACATGGAGAGCCTGTCTTCTTTTGGACCTGATGTTCATCGCAAGAGAGACTTTCGCAGCCGGTCCATCTGTACACCCGTACACCCGTGTTCTGAGTAACGCGCGATGCCTTGTGATAGATGTTGACAAAGTGACCGAATACGGCAGCGTGGTGACAAATGAGAAGCTTTCAGGCAGAAATTAGTGAGAGCAGACACACATTCAAAGGTGTTTCAGAGCGGTGTAGGTAATCGTTAGCAAAACACGAGCGCGGCGTTTGTTTAGTGTCATCAAATATTCTTGCTCCACTCAAGTCCACCCACATATCCGTTGTACCAGGTGAACTCTTTGATAGCACTGCCAGAGAGAACATCAGCGAACAGGGCTCTCCTTCTTTACTTAGTTTTGGTAGCCTTGGGAATGAAATAAAAGAGAAACATCAAGAGTATGCCAGCCAACAATACCTTCATCAAAGACACACATTTGGCGACATCGTCTATAATGCTACGCCGAGATCATGCCCCGCTACAAGACCAGCATATGGCCAGCAGCCCTAGGATGTCACCGCAGAATCCTCCGGAGCGTTCATCTTTAGATGTGTCACTTGCCAGTCCGCTAGATATGGAAAAGCAATTTGATGCAATAGCCTCAAAAGTGACCGAGACCATCCAGAGCATCAGTTCTATATACAATGAGATTGGGTACACCTCGCTGGAGATTGCGGAGAAAAAGGCGGAGATTTTCGAAACCATAAACAATGCAATCGTTTCGTTCAAGAGCAATCTCGAACGTGAGAAAAATAGCATCAACAACGAATGCGAGTGGCTCCGGCAGCAAATTCGCGTGATTCTTGCGATGTTGAACGATCATACTGGCGAAAAACACTTGAAGCTCTCGAGCAGGGGTGTTGTATTTGACGACGAGCTTATGTATGCAGAAGGGTGAAAAGAAGATGTGCTCCAACACATGAGCAAGCTACATCTGAATAGAAACATGAGCTTTCTGGCTAACTCGTTTCTGTTTCTGGATGATTCACCATCTTCCCCTACAAACGTGCTTATCTCTGGCAACTCAGCGCTCGGGTCTCCATTCAAATATTCTGGCGTCGAGCCACCTCTTGCTGAACTGGTAAATACGGATGATTCTCAAAGAGCAGTTGCCATGGGAGAGGCAAGTGCTGCTAGCAACCAGAATCACTTCATGACCAACCACAGCCCAACGTTGTCCTTGCTTCAGTACAAGACACGGCTAAATCTGATATTTCTAGAGGTTTTGAAGGCGTTTGTGAAGGTATTCAAACGATTCAACGAAGTTAATCGGATGTTTTGGGAAAATATCGACACCATCACGGATGACTTCACCGCACATAAAAACTCTGTCTTTTCAGAATCCATACCTAGCAAACTGGATGCCGATGAGCATGCGGTACTTATCGCAGAATTTGAGTCGATTCTAGAGCAGTTGAACATGACAACTCGGAACTACAATCCACAGTTACGCCAGGGTATGAGCGAAACTGCAGTGCAGGATGTTGCTTTCATAATCTCAAGCCCAAGGAAGAAAAAACAATCGATGGCTGGCCTGGAGTCGGAAATCGACCCTGATGCTTCTTCTGATGAGGCTATGAATCGACTCAGGGAAATTAACTATAAACTTGTACACGCCATCCGGGGACTCAAGGTGACGAAGGTCACCAACGAAACGATCGCACAGTTGGCCAAAGAAGTCGAGACCACAGAAAATGAGATCGAAGTTCGAGTGCAGAGCATGAAAGACAAAATATCCGACTGTTTAAATGTAATCGACGTGCTTTCGTTGACTGAACTGGATCTTATTGCCATACAGCGAATGCAAAGTCAATCTGACCGTGAGAAACAAGCCTCATACGCTGGTGAAGGGTTGTTTGATGTCGACACGCTTAGATTCATTCAAAATAATCCCCGTGAGTTTGGGTTGATGGATCATCATTTGAACTTTGTCGCCAGACTCACGCACACTTTACAAACAATCAGGGACAACAAGAAAAAGAAATGGGAGCAGTATTCACAGGTCTGTTCAAGCTTATGGGAGAAGCTTGGTGAAAATAGAAGCTACACTGAAATCTTTCTTGCAGAAAACTCGAACTTAACTGACCTCGCCTTGACGAATCTTAAAATGGAGTTGAAGAGGCCATACGCAATGCGATCCGAGTACGTTGATAGCTTCATTCTTGATGCACGAAAGCAGGTTTTCGAGCTTCATTCGAAATTGCTCTATTCAGATGCTCGACGCCAAGAGTTCAAATACAAAAACTACGATGTGAATGATATTTCTGGAGACAAGGAATGCATTCTAGATGAGCTCGAGGTGGAAATTGAGAAACTCAAGCGTGACTATGCTTCTAAAGAGCCCGTCTTATCTCTCTACGCTGAACTCAATGAATTGCTCGAGGATCAGAATTTCCTCAATGAATCGTCCAAAGATTCCTCTCGCTTGCTCAGCAAAAACTCGTGCAAGATTTTATTGAATGAAGAAAAGTTGCGAAAAAAAATCAACAAGAATTTACCAAGAGTCCTCAGCTCCTTGAAACAGGAGATAATTACCTACAACGATAGACTGCTTTCAGAAGGTCTATCCCCTATCACTGCTGGCAATGATGATATGTTTGAGAAGATTTTATTGATAGAATCCGACTTAGGCACACAGGGTAGTAAGCCAACGAGAAACAAGCCTAGCGTTGCTTTTTCAACGAGAACATCTTCGCCCAAAAAACCTAGCTTGTCGCCTTCGAAGGTGCAGAAACAATCGACGCATAGAAAATCACCGACTCTTTCTGGTACCTTGCACCATAGACAAGCAATGCAGCCAAAATCGCTGCTTGTGAGATCAAGAATTACTTCGTCAAACAGGCCAGAAATGAACACCATCAGGCGTTCTCCAAGAGCAGAAGATCACAAAGTTCTCGGCAAGAAAACTGCACTTGGAAGCGCCGTTTTGGTACCCCTCAACACATCTTTGGCTCCCAATGATATATGCTCTGCAGGGCCTTCGCCAGTGAGCCGGGAAGATTCGAGTTCCAGCTGCACCAGCAGCAACGACACGTTATACTCAATTTGTTCCCGTGTTTCGCCCTTGAAAACGGCGTTGAATGTCAACCGGTCTTTCTCTGACAATTTCTCTCCTTCAAAAAGAGCTGACAAGGGCACCGAAAAAGGACCGATTTCGACAGAAGACGAGAAAGAAAACCCGTTTGTTGCACGCAAAACTGTTTTCGGGGGACCGCTCGGGGCGCTTCTGAAACCCAAGAAATCTAGGGAAGACGCGAGGCTAAGCAGCGGCAGTCTCGCCAATTCCACGATTGGTGGTGACGACTACCAAACATGGCGGGATGAGCGAATTAAGGAAATTAATGGGGAGGACCTAGACTTATGCTAGCCGGTCATATCCAGTGAAGTTCGTCTTTTTCTGGTGGTCTTGAGACATGGGTTCAACGGATGCAGTGTATTATACAATAAATCTTTGATATGAATTTCTAGTAGTCATTAACGTTATAAACCCCTTGCGCCCACTCAGTACCCGACCACCCTGACTTTCTTGTCGGCTTTCTTGTTCTTCTTGTTGTGCTTTTTGTCACCCTTGCCTCCAAGCTGGTTCTTGTGGAATGCAGAATTCATCTTCGCCTGCACGTCGTTCATTTTAAAGAACTCCTTGTCCAAGTCGTCGGCTGCACTCTCCAACGCAGCCTGGCGGCCACCGTAGAATCTGGTGGTGGGGCCAGTGGAGGGCGCGCCTGGCGTTTTCTGGTTGGGGTCTTCGGAAAGATGCATGGAGAAATTGAGCTTGCTCAAGTCGCGGGACAAATCAAAGTCGTCGGCCTTGATGTTTTTAGCCGCAAGAGCGGAGAGGAGCTGCTGCTGCCTGGTTTCGGGCAAAGACTGCAACGTATAAACGTCCTTGTTAAACTCGCGCGACTCTTCCAAAGAAGGAATGCCGTATGAGCCATCCGCCAACTTCTTAGGTGGAGGGTTGATGTAGAGCAATTTGCCGTTCACGTAGTCTTTCAAGATATATCTGGAGGCACGTGACTCGTCGGCGGATCCGAAACCCTGGGTCATGTATCCACGGGCTCTGGCGTATGCATTTAGAAGTTCTCTTGCAGTTGGATAGATGCCGTTTCCACCATCGTTCTTGCTCTGGATTGGAATGTGGATACCATACACAGCTTCCAAGTAAAACTTCGGGATCCGCTGGCAGACCAAGGAAGATGGCGGGATATGTTCACGCAACTGGTCAATGGGCAAGACACCGTTACACACCAATTCCCCATTGGAGTAGGCAAAGTTGGGGAACACAAGACCCGGGCAATCGCACAACACGACCTCGGGCGAAAGGAAAATCGTCTGGAAATGCTTGGTTTTTCCCGGAGTGGCCGACACAGACACCTTCTTGGAACCCACCAATGCGTTGATGGTGGACGATTTTCCCACGTTCGGGTAGCCCACTAAGCCGATTTGCAACTTACGGTCGGGCTGATCCTCCGAGGGCTGGATCAGAGGCGCGGTGGCCATAAACAAGTGCTCCAACTCCTCAATTTTAAGGATCCGGATGTCTTCCTGCTCCTCCTCCTGTGCGTCTTGGGCCAGGTTGGACACGTACGTGGGATCCCGGGCCAAGTTCTGCTCCTCCTCCAACTCCTTCTCCAAAAGTGCATTGGCGTTGGCCGCGGAGAAAAACACGTAGCTGATGTGCTTCTCCTTGAAGTAGTTGGCCCACTCGATCCGCTGGTTTCTTGTGAGGAGATCGGCCTTGTTGACCAAAAGCAAGTTGCGCTTTTCTTTGCCCTCGTCAGGCTTGCTGAGCCCCGAAACATACTTCTCCAAGTCCACGGACCGGAAGTCCAAGGGGCTTCGGGCATCGACAATCTGCACCACGAGGTCACATCTTTCCACCACACGCCACAACTGGCGCCACACCTCGATGTTTCTTTCGAAAGGCGTCAACAACAAATCGTTGGTTTCTGTCAACGCCGCCAACTGACGCCTCCATTCCAAGAAAGCGAGGTTCTCCTGTCTCTCGATCTGTAGTTTCAGCTGCTCTTTGCTCCACTTGGGTCTGCGGGGAATGGTCAACCTGTTCTCGAAACTCTGGTGTTTTTCCCGCAAAGCAATGGTTTCCTCCTCAGACAACAACCCGGTTTGGTTCACGAGAGACGTGTTGCCCACCTTTATGATTTTGACCTGCTGACCTTTTTCGGCAGTGAAATCGTGGTCGGCCAACTCGGCCGTATTCAAAAACTCGTCCAACGAGTTTTCCTGCGTGACGGACCGCAACTTCACCCAGCCGGCCTGTTTCTTATCGGTTGTAAACCGCATCTCACCATCGGGCAAGTATTCGATCGAGTTTTCCTTGAGTCTTTGGTTGGCAATGGACCTTCCGAGCCCAATGGTGTTTCTGTTCTTGTGGTGCACGGGCTTGGGGCCCTTGGGCGCCTTCCATTTTTTCTGTTCTGGGTGCAATGCCCCCTTGTTCTCACTCATTCTTATGTGTGTGTGTGTGTGCTCGAGGTTGTTTACGATGTGCTGGAGAAAAGGTGAGGAATTCTCTGTCAAACATTCTGAATATTGTATGGTGGGTGCGATGGCGATGAGAGCTGACTGAGAAAAACCGGGACGCAGGAATAGCAGGGCCAGGTGTGCACACAAGACCCATCCCAAGGAAGGGGCCAAAGCTGGAAAGGACCCATTGGGGCAAATGGCATTGTGCTAGATATGGGGGAAGAACCGGGTTAAGGTGTTATTCTACATGATGGTTTTTGTTTTGCATTACCGTGATCTCTGTTGCTTTGCGTGTTGATATATCTTGTTCATTAGAGTCGGCTCGCACTGGGGACTATGCTGGACATATTATTTACGTCGTTTAGGGACAATTATCGTTTTTCTTCCAAAGGCATCAGTGGAATGAAAGTGATGTAGTATGTGTGATTATCTTCAACACATGCCTTCTCCCCCTTTCTGAGCTATCCACGAAATTGACAAATCAAATTGTAATGTCCACTTTCAGGAAATGACATGCGCACAGAGATACTACTCTGATCTAGAATAAAAGAGAGCTTTTTTGCGCATATCATTTGATCACAGAAATCTGGAGTGTTCTATGACACAGTAGTGTTAAGCACCATCGAGCATTGGCCTGCCTCATGTACCTATTGGTAAATCAGCGCATGTGAGGGATGATGTGCCCTGTAAACAATTATTAATGACCCAATCATATGTCACGTTATTCTACGAAATCCAGCCCTGTTTGGGAAAACCCTTAACAAGGTCAAATTTTTGTCTTCCAACAAAAACACTCCTCAACACGACACCAAAGATCCAGTTATGTCAAAAGGAGAAAAGACCTGTTCAGATCGACGGGCTTGCATGGCGTACTAAACGAGCCTACGTATGAATCCTCACATCTTGGCCCGTGGCTTCATCATCCCCCGCATAGCTACAAGGCCCAATAAAAATTCGATATCTTTCATATGGATCTAGCTCGCAGTAAATATCTACAAATATCAAATGTACTGCGACAACCACTTGAACCCCTCGCCGTAGCCCATTCTCATCACAACGGACACCATGAACACCTCGATAGGCCTGATGTTTTCGGGCAACTTCCCCACGTCTTTGCCGGTGGTTCCATACAAGTCCAAAGCAGCCTTCAACTCGGACTCGTTCACGGCATTTGGCTTGTCGATCTTGTTACCCAAGACCAAGAACGGTACTTTGCTAAGCTCCTCGATCTGAAACAAAGCGGCCAACTCAGCGCGGGACTCGGCCAATCTTTCGGAGTCTGCCGTGTCAACCAAAAACACGATTCCGTCGACCTCTGGGAAGTAGTCCTTCCACAATCTACGAGCCTGTTGATGGCCACCCAAATCAAAGGTGGTGAACCTAACCGAGCCGATGGCCAACTCCTCGGAAGTGGGGTGCAACGTGGGCTGCAACTGGGCTAAGCGATCGTTCTTCAACATGTGCAACAACGTAGTTTTTCCAGCATTGTCCAAACCCAAAAACAACAACTTGGCATGCTTATTCCACAAGCCTAGCGACGACAACACGTCTTGTACTGAGGACGTTAGTAGATGTCGTGACAGGCCTAAATAGGAGAAAACTGGCCCTTAAACGGAACGGGCTAGCCTGTGTGGGCCCACTTCTTTTTGTAGAAGCTCGACTTAAATATGCGATAGCTAGGGTCATATCTTATCAGACCCCAACAACAAGAAAGGTCTAAAGCAATAAAATTCTGGGGAGAAGCCAGGCAGAATGTTCTATGCTTTACTTAGGTTGCAATCCGTGTGTGTTCTACGTACCCCAGCTAAAGATCCACATGGTCCGATTATTTATGTATAAGTTCTTGATTGATCTTGATATTCCTTCAGGGAAAAACAGGGCTTGGTGCCTCGCCCACATTCACATGGTGCACGGGTGTGGGAGTTGCGGACGAGCGTGTCATCTTTAAGGGCTTAGCGGTGCGACAAGTCGGGTTTGATTTGAGCAGCGACAGGCACCTCCCTCGTAGAGCTTTCGTTTTCTTTGATCTGCTAGAATTGAGCTCTAAGAGAAAAATCGATTCACCACTGATAAGTATTCGTATAGACGGGGTGAATTATTGGACCTAGATATATTTGTTTTACGAGAGTATTTGTAGAAGAAGTAAAATTTCGGGGGTTTCCCACATTATTTGTCCAATTTCCCAATCTTTGCAAAAAATCTTTGCAAAAAATCTTTGCAAAAAAATTAATTCGGAAGGATCCAGCATTTCGCAAAAACCTACTTCTGTTAAGAGCAAGAATAGTATCACAGCGTTGTGCATGGTAAAGCTTCAAGCAAACAAACCTACTTCTAGTTCCACGTTGTCTCAAAGAGAGCCCATCAACATGTTGAACACTACTCAAAACCATGTATTTATAACTCGCAATGATTTTGAAATAACTATGGAGCTAGTTTCTAGTTGGTGATCGGACATTAATCTTGTTTAGGAAACTCAAACTCGCGGCCTTCAGCACGGAGCTGATCAGCGTACTTGGCAACTGCAATATTTCTGTTTTTCTTGACTTCCGAGATACCTTCTCTTTCGCTGCTCTTCTTTTCATCCCAGAACAGAGGCAAAAGCCCTTTTTTCTCTGTGCCACTTCTGACGATCCAGTCATAGAGTTCATTTGCAAATAAATAATCACAACCTTTTAATGAATGAAACTCCTTCTCACCTTTGGCGCTGAATTCAGCCTCGTAGCTCAACCGCATTTCCTCTACGCTTGGTAGCAGTATCCGCCCGGATAAGACGCGGGCCACTACAGCGGCCTGGGACTCACTGATAGGCAATGGAGAGTTCATTTTAGTTAAACCAATAAACAGAAGCGTTGGGTCGTCCACGTAGAAAGTCTGTTTATAGAGGCTTTTCACACTCACCCCGTTAGTAATTTCTGCAGAGTAATTGCGGAGAAATGGAAAGGTGTAGAGAAAGCCCGTGCAAAAAACAATCCTGTCTATGTTGTCAAGAGTTGCACCATCGACGGTGTGTGCTTTTCTTGTGGAAACATCATATTTGGTGACAAGTCTCACCTTCTTTACATAGTCGTACTGAGACTCTTCCAAAGTCTCATCTTTGGTGCTCACATACACTTGCTTTGCGGTGGTACCGATTTGCATAGCCAAATCCATGCCACTGGCAAAGTTACCAATTATAAGCACAGTTTCGTTTCTGAAGTCAGCAGAGCTTACAAAATACTTGGAGTGAGTCACAGAATGCGGATCCCTTTCACTCCATTTCTTTAAGCCTGGAGTGTCTGGAATAAAGGGATGTTCATAGTGACCGTTTGCGACCACCACTGCGTCGTATGCATCAGTGGTCTTTTTGGCCGAGGTCAAATTCTCAGTGGTCACAGTCCATTTCGATTCCCCCGAATTTTTCTTGACGCCTAGCACATTTGTCTTGAAGTTGAAGTGAACATCCTTGGGGATCGTATCAGCGTACTTATGCAAGTACTGAAGCACTTCGGAGCGATCAATGAATTTGGACTTGCGTGGCTGGAATGGCACGTTGCTATATTCCATGAGGGTGTCGGTGAGGTTTGTTTCTAGTTTTTTATACATCGAGGAGGGAAATTGAATTTCCAGATTGCCATATTCTGTGTGTTTTTCCTCACCGTTTGGGTCTGTGGATGGAATTGGGGGAGCAACTGTGCTCTTGTCTTCAGTGAAATTCCACACTCCACCTATACTGTCCCGTCTCTCGAATACATCGATGATCCAGTTCGCGGGCTCTAAAGCAAGAGCTTTCGCAGCTGCCAATCCCGCTGGACCAGCCCCGATAACAGCAATGTGATTTACTATGGGCATTTTCTTTGAACTTGATCGAAATCACGGTCCGAGATTTGTTGGAGATAAATGAAATGGAGTGCATATGGTACTCGCTTATCTAAGTTGTCAAAAGATGGATCATATTTGTCCATACTTCTTTGTTGGATTTATTTGGTTTTTCCTATTGGTTTTGTGAGAAAGAACGTTTAAGGGTATTTCTCCCGACTAGTGTTCATAATCAAGTCTAGTATCTAGATGAGGCTCACCACCTACGGCTTTGAAAACTGCGCTGACGTGTTGGATCTTACAATCAAATTCTGTGAGAGGTCTGCGGTACTAATTGCTTCGACTCAAAACGTCAAGGAATATAACTATTTCTTTTTATCATTGCGGAGCAATCAAGAAGTAAAGAATGAACGAGAACGAATGACAAGTGTTTTACATCGCGAAGTTTGCCGATCGAATTATATGTAAAGAGGTCAGTATATATTTTCCATGCAAAAACCGAATGCACTCACCTTCGCGGCTTGATATTCTCGAGTAAAAATTTTCGAAGCTGACTCGAATGTTATGATCAATAAAAGCATTGGTGCTTCATAATGGTAAATCTTAGAGGCATGTACACTCTATTACTTCACGCTTAAGGCTGTCATGTGTCAGGTAAAGTATGTCTCTAGTATGAGTGGACATACAAATGTCTCCACAGACACGTGATGTTTATATACAGAGTGTGGGGAATGTTTTCAGCGGGATATGCCCCAGGAACTGAATGTCGAAACTTTCAAGCTATGCAAGATACATATCTAGTATATGGCTCTACTGGCTTATTTCTGTCCCAGACCAATAAGAAAAGCACCTGAAACTGACCGCTCTATTTGAAAAGTTTAAAAAGGTCTTAATGTCACGTGAAACGAAGCTGCGGGAACTCGCAGTGGACAATCACGGTCACATAAAGAGGGTTCAATTTTGGAAGAATTGTCTCCCTTCTTCTACTTTAAAATCACACTAAAAACAGACCAATATTTGATTTCTCTAAGGACGAATGGGTAGAGTAAATTATCATACAGGGCTCATAAACATTGCTGAGGAAACTCACCAGGTTTAACCGCCTCAAGTCTATGTGCGCGCTACAGATCTGCACCTGGGGATCCTTAATTGGAGTTGCTCCGGCAAGGACTGTGCATTGGCACTACCCCAGTATCTCGTAATTAGATTTCAAGAAAGCCCTTTAATAAGTATATTCAAGCAAAGTTCCAGTGAAATTCTCTCATCAAACACTATTCTTTTACCTGCGAATCTGAAGGAGACCAGAAGTACAATTATAGTAATGGCTGACTCCACCGCCAGTATAAAGTCCATATATAGCGGGAAGGGTGGTTTATCCGACGAGGATTTTGAGGATTTGTCGGGCGTCTCGCTGGTTCCATTCAGTTTGAGTGAGAAGCAGATCTCCAATAACTTCCAGCAAGCTGTGCGAGAGGCCAGTACTGACTTTAAGAAGTCTCAAGACAATTTTGCAGCCTTGAACGCGGACCAAACTTCCAATCCTGATATCACAGAACCTCGGTCCCATCATTTGACTGAAGTTTCTGCAAGAAATTTTGGGAGGCACTTGGATCTGGAAGCTATTGATGGTTCGGATTTCAAGGCGTGGAATGTGAGTCCTCCTGAATGGTACGTGAATCATGTCACGAGCACCAACGTATCCTTAGCATCCTTATTCAGCGGCCAACAGCTGGGAACAAGGTCACCTAGCAGAGCAGAATATTCAGAGGCAGATTACTCTCCAAGTGAGTCTCATTCACGGCCGCTTTCGCGGAATTCCAATAACTCCGCCTTTTCTACCATCGCCACCAAAGATGGCATAGAAGGAAAAAGGCCGTACAAAATGGGTCTGAAACCTCTCCTCGAGACAGTGTTGGCTAACAAAAACCAACAGTTGTTGTCAAATGTACAGAATCAGCAGAGTCAGCAAACCCAGCAGGATAGCAGCAATTATCACAATGCTTCCAACTCAGAGAAATCACCGCCTTTGAGAAAAGCAACAGGAGCGGATTCTGTTCTTGAAAGCGAAGAGTCCAACCTCCGGACACATCTAGATGGAGTAGAATATCTTCCAATCACCATAGACGAGAAGATTGAGCTTATGAATCGGGACTCAATGCCGCGAAAGTGAATAGCGTTTTCAATAAGCCAAGTGGATATGTCGTTTGAGTAAGACAGTACAGGTATTGAGTTTTCGAAGATTTAGCTAATTGCGATCTTGTGCTTTGATTGAGCTCATGGGTGTTAGTTTTGTCCTGTGGAAGATCAGGCTGGTATGACACCGATTGGAGTACTTTGCTGTTGGAAGTGTATAAATAATTGTCAGATTGAAGACTGTGCTCCGGGAAAAGAATCTGCTGTTTGTCTTACATCTAGATAGGCATGTGCTCGAATTGGTAAATCAAAACTACACCAGAAACTTAATCGAGTAGACACGTCCCGTTCATCCGGCGTCCCGACTTATAAACCCTAGTCATAAGGCAGATTCCGGCTCAGCTGTTTTTGGAAATACCCAATTGAAAATATTCGCCCTGCCATTGAAGAAAATCAAACCAGTCTCTTTACACACATTCAAGCCAACATGTTTATTCCCAGCTGTTGATCCTCGCTATACCATCTGAATAACCTACAGAAGCGCGAAATCGGAGCGCGAACATCAAAAAACCCTGGACGAGTTCTCAGTTTACATCCAGCACTCACCTTCCTAGTCATATAAGAATAATGCTTAGACTCACTTCAAGGGTTTGTACCAGGCGTGCCACTCAGCTCGGTCGAATTGCTGTACCGGTATCCAAACGCTTTCTTTCCAATCAGCCAAAAGAAACATTCACTAGGTTGAACGATCGCAGTGACCCCTCTAGAAACCTGTTTTTCCAGTATACATGGGGCTCTTGGTTGAAGAACGACGCTTTAGAGAAAGCCAGGAGGGAGACTAGATTTAACATCGAGAATTTGTCCACGTTCGTGAAATCTTTAAAGGTGCAAGATTCGGAAGTGCTTGCTAAACCACAAGCTTTGTCTAACGGGATTGTGACCTTACCTAACAATATGACCCAGGATATCATGGGCGGAACCGGCTTCGAACTCAAGTCAATAGCCAGTATTCATGAAGGAAAGCATCACAGAGTGTATAAACTCACCTTGGCCAGCGACAAAGAGTTGGTGTTGAGAATTCCTTATAAATTGGAATCTGATTTCGCCATTGAGCAGAAAATCAAGAGCGAGGTTGCCACGATGGATTTCCTCGCTGAGAAGCTAAACGCCAGTGTGCCAAAGGTTCTTGCTTATGGTGCTACCAGAACAAACCCATTGCAAACTCCGTTCATTTTGATAGAGCATATAGAAGGAGAGTTGTTGATGAAACAATGGGACCCCATGATGGCTGACTCTGACACGAGCAAAGCAAAGTTGCTGGAGGTTATCCAGCCTATTATGAATTTTTCCGACACTGCTCTCTCAGTCACGTTTAACCGGTTTGGATCTCTTTACTTTTTCGATGACGTCAACCCCGAGCAACAGTCAGTGCTTCCATATGATGGCGAGACCAACGAGGCTTTGAAAAACAGATGGAGGATCGGACCAAGTGTGGAGAGAGTGTTTTCGAAAAACAAAAAACACTTGAATGCTCAGCAGGTCGGTCAATTTAACGGGCCCTGGGATGCAAACAAGCCATTGGACATGATCACTGATGTAGCGGGCATTCATTTGGAGAGCTTAAGGCTGAGACTTGCTTTGGCTCAGGCAGATGCTGGCAACAAGGTGGAGAATGTCGACGCGTTGAAAAAGCAAATTGGCGTGTTTGATGACTTAAAAACCATGTCACAAAAACTCTTCAATCCAACTTCCAAGTCCGTCATGAACGTTACAGAGATGTTTAAACCCAGACTCTTCTTTCCAGACTTGGACCCCTTGAATGTCATTGTTAGAGACGGCGTCCCCGTGTTTCTTGACTTTGAGCATGCTTCCATCAAGCCTTTTATTCTTGCCAACTACCCGTCTTTCATCGCCTACCAGGGAGCTAAAATCTACAACTTAGAAGACGAAATTCCAGAGTACAGCACCATGGATGATGTTGATAAGCAGCAATACCAGTTCATGTACTACAAAACCAGAAACGAACGGATGTGGGAACACGCTCTCAACGAGAAGAGACACGATTTGATTGCTGTGGCGTCTCCTCACGTGAAAGTCTTGAAGGCACCCTACTTACAGGCATTGGAGTGCAAGAGTGACAAGGACTACTTGTTCGTGGAGAATGCCATGGTACAATTACAGGCTATGTGGAATGTGTATGTTGCCAATGGGCTTGTGAACACCGAAGAAAACGGATTCCCGATTGAATACACGCAGACCCAGTTAGACGAGCACCAAGCTTATTTGGAAGACCACCAGACCGAGGTCATGTCTACGCCATTTGCGGCCACGGGGGGTTGGGTGCCTCAGGACATGTTCGCCGTGTTAAAGGAGCAAAACATCTTGGTCAAGGACAAGAACGGCGACTATTTCATTGAAAAGGAGGCTGTATTGAGAGACGTTCCAGGAACTGAGAATACGGAAGGAACTGAGCCCAAGACAGAGCAGTAAGTTGGTGTTGCATACATGTACATAGAAACAAGCAGAATGATGCCTTTCATTTGATTTGCTATACGATTCGAGTTTGCTTAGTCTTGGGCTCAAAACCTTCATTACATATGCGGTTTGAGAAAGTGTGAGCAAAAAGGAACAAAGTCAAGCTGGGGACAGATTAAGATATGCAAACATGCACAATGAATCGAATATTGTTTTTTTTTTCAGGCAATTAATTTTCGCGTTGTTAAACACCTTCAAAGGTACAATGAGTGAGGCAGCTGATTGTGGAAAGTTTTCTGGTTTCTCTTCTTAAGGGTTCACAAGAATCTGTACTGAAGCTGTACAAGGCTAATGAGGTTGAGCGAGATGTCTGGTATAGCGTGAGCGTCACTTTGCTTGAGGTTCGATGAAGTTAATCACTGTATTGATCGCGTTTGTTGGACCGAGAGATGAGGAAGATCTTTAGAAACTGCACGCTATAAAGAGCGAAGGAGAAATCACTTGGTGATTTTTTCTCTCATCCTAGCTCAAAATTCCAGCAGCCAATGTATGAATGATTGAGCTGCCGAAATTATATTGAATTTTGAGAGTATAGTCGTCTTCTCTAACACCTGGCCTTTCTGAGAAATGGTATGAGCCAAACACACCTTAATGATGCTCTTCCAGTATAAGCATGTGTACAGTGTTACACAACAAGCTGATTGTCTGCTCAGGTTTCAGCGCATGACACTAGAGATATTTGCGTGCCAAAGACTTGACTCTGTGGTCGAAATCTGGCGACACGAGGGGATCGTTTACCGCATAGAATGGATTAAGCTGTGCTTTGACGTACAACTCGTAGGCCTCAGTAAAAAAATGCCGGATTGCTGTCTCATCCTGTTTAGTGCTGGTCATCGATATCGTGCTTTCGGAGCTTGTTGATGCGTCTGAACAAAGTACCAACTTGATGTTTCCCTGTGTTATGAATGCGTTTACCAGGACGCCGTAGAATGAGTCGACTTTTCCCAAATTAAAGCCGCTGGTCTGCCACTGCGCGTCTTCAACAATATCTAGAGATGCATTGCTAATAAATGGTAGAAGCTCCTTTACTTTTGGGGAGAAGCGAGCTTCTCCAGGAATCGAGGAATGCCCACTTTTGAACGAGGAGAATTCAAGCTCGTATAAAGGATTATCACGTGTTCCGATAATAGTGAAGTAGTATGAGGCCATTGCAAGAAACAGACCCTAGTATAATTCAGGCGTGCAATTAGGTTCTTGCGAGCGTATATGGCAATAAGGCAAAACGGCGTAAGATCTGGTCAATGCTTATGGAGCATGCACATAGTCTTAGGCGGAGGACTAGTTAAATTGGTGGAGTTTTGATGTAAAGGTGTACGGGTGTCTATGTTATACGACTAGTAGGACTGGCGGGGTGGTTTTTCTGAAGACGTGACCTTCAAGAGTAAACATTGGAGAGTTTCTCTTCTAAATGTCGCTTCTACTAGTTTGCATGGGAAAAAGCGTGCTTCGATTATCCTCATTCGCTCCCCAAAGGGTCCTGTGCTTGGACTATGTTGGTCAAGTGCACCATGCGTTATTGGCCTCACCAGTTTTTATAACTTGCTTGCACAAGCAACAAATGAGCAATACATATTGCAGATTAGATTAAGAAAAGCTTTTTTGAAAATGTTGTTGAAATATTAAAACACTGTGTTTTCTTCTCATCACATCATTGAAGCACCCATGTGCAATATACTACTGATTTATTCGATATTTACATTGATACATGCTTTGCAGGACGGAAGAATGCTATTTGACAATATTTCATCATTCTTAACCTCAAGCCCAAAGTTCAATGAGCCCAAGGCTGAAGGTTATTACTGCATACGTTTTGCAATTAAGAATGGCATGGGTTCCGCCTTTTTCAGGCTCCTTCAAACTAGCTTATAAATTATTGAGCATTTCACCATTCTACATAAACGAGAGATGGTACGCCGCCGTCTTTAAAGTCACTTCCATCCCAGATTCTAGAATTTTGTCTGCTTTTAAAGTGATAGATGTCTCGACTCTGGTCCGCCATTTTAGGGTGTCCGCAATTTTTGCCTTATTCGGAAGTTTTCTCTCCACAGGATTATGCGCCAGCTGACTTTAAAAAATTCTATACCGCATACGGTAGACAAGAGACCTGCACACTGTGCATCCTTTGTTATTGAAGTTCTTACCAAGATCTCGGACACCAAGATCTGGATCAAGAGAAAACGACATCATATAAGGGCTGATAGAATCAGGTACACATATCCAGACGAATCAGAATACAGCATCAGAACACACTTAACTTAACGAATTATAAATTTTTTCAAACTCTTCATTTGTTGTATTCTTCCTGCTAGTCAGGAGAGCCTTAAATCAACCGTGATACGTACTATTCTATGACGCTGAACCAAGCTAATTCCACAGGAATCTATCGGCACATAGCTCCCATGAGAGATAAGCAAAAACCCAATTGTCTCTTTTCGTCGGACATTCCCTATAAAATCTCTTCATGTGTGGCGAAACTACATTTATACAAAGGAGATTACAGCAACAGGCGCGTAGACCTTGCCGAATATATCCAATGGTTTGATATTACGCTTGAGTTAAACACTTTGCTCCTGAGAAATATGGAAATTTTGCCCTCTGAACTTGCACGGATCAACTCAATGTTTGTGGCTGAAGGAAGGGCCCCCGAATCCAGTCATAGTATAAGAGCCTCTTCGCCGTCAATTCCGGCGGTATGGAGAGCAATTCTTTTCACAAAAAAAAATAGTGAGACATTTGTGGTGAATTTCCGTTTGGACGTCGATCAGTTCTTAGTGGACCTATCTAATATCAGTGATATGTGCCTACATTTTCATGCCAACGAAACTATCCAGCCACTCCTACTGCTGGATATCGCCAACCATTTGAAGACGTATGTTCAACACAAGCTCCAACAAGAATTAAACAACAACAACGACATTTCGTTCGACATCACAAATTCTTCCACCATTCTTCAAGACCTGCCACCAAATGAGAGTATTGCTCTGTTCAAAGCTATATATACAAACACACACAACGAAGCGCTAGATCTTGCCATCACATCTCTAGACGAATGTGACCTTTCGTATGTCATTGAGAAGCAGCTGATTTACTACGTTGACGACGAGTTTGACAATACGGATGACGAGATGAAACTATTGCACTCCGATGAGAGTGGCAAATCCCAATTAAATGAAGACGAGGATCTGGATTTTGCTGAGACAAACTCATTTCGTGAAAGAATATTCGTTGATTACCAAGCTCCCGAGTTTCTAGCGAACGAGATCTCCTCCATCTCCTTGTCAGAGAACTTGGTATTATCTTCCGCAGCGAAGGCTACTAAAACTGGAAGCAATGACCAGTTTTTTGATATCCCAAATGTTGATAGCAAGGGAAGAGAAGAAGTACAAGAAAGCAAATCAGCGGATGCACTCAGAGAATGTACAAAGTATTCAGAATCCGATGAAGGTGTGACTTTGTCAAATACGGAACATGCTAGCGCACATTCACAGCAGATGTCTGTACACGACGGTATTTTGGTCTATGAAAACAACAGCTCGCTCGATGAGAGACTAAAAGAGATTCCAGCCTACACGACCGAATGTCAGGATACTATACAATCACCAATGGTGTCTCCAAAAAAGAAAGACAACCAAAGTTATGGATCCGAAACGACCGGCGAAGAGAACCTGCTTCGAAAAAAAGCCTCCATTTCGTTCATTGACCACGACGAGAGCCTTGGTCTTCAGTTTGCCTTCAGAGACTCTTCATCGTCGGTTCCTGAATATATCAAGGAGAACAAGAAGTTTAAGTTCATCAAGGTGGGCAAAGTGCAGAAATTTGTAAACATGTTTGAAGAACACAAGGAAATAGCCAGCAATCCCCTGAGTCGAGTTGGCACGAGACCAGGCAGCCCGGTATCACGCATAGACTAGAAGATGTTCCAGCAGCTCAATGAAATGAGGGGATCAGAAGTGAGAATTTTGAATCGGAGAAACTGCTTCTGCTGTAATCGCTTTGTGTGTTATCGTGTAAATGGAATACATTTTGAAGTGTTCCAAATCAAACGAATTCGCTCTATCCAGGTCCTAGTATGAAGCCCGCAGAGCCTGTGAGCATCTCGCTGTAGACGGTTTCAAGGAAATCCACCTGTAGGATGACGAGATGGCATCCTTTCTGGAATCTTCTGTATCATGAAAGTTTTGTCATCTAAGACCATCGACATCTAGAATCCCTAAGTAGAATGAGAGAACAGTCGCTTGAAGGAGCTCCATGGTCACTCCATATAAAGAAACAGGCCCGAATCGATCATACCGATGCTTTTTCCAAAGCGGCGATCCGGTCTATGAGCTTGTTAAACTTTACGAACACTTCTTTAGTGGCTTCATCTTCTGCGTCCTTATTCTTCTCATCGCTAGCTTCTACTTTGATAGTTTCCAAGCACCATGTTTCTCGAAGTCCGCGAGTTATTCCTAGGAGGTCCTTACAAAGCCTTATTATCGTCAGAGCGTCGAATTCCATAGCGGCATTCTCCACAGCCAATAGCTCCTTTGGTTTTTCGTCAATCACAGCTTTTTCAAACAAGTCCTGAAACTTATCAAGGATCTGGTAGATGGTAGAATCTATCTTTTTGAGAAGCGTGACCGACTTTTGCTGCATTTTGTCGAACTAGTGGTGTCAGCCACTATGAAATACGGACGAAGATCTGAGGATATAAAAGACCTGTACCCCGGGACGTACCGAGACACGGACATGGATTTTTAATACTACTTCATTTGTATGCTTTCTATGATCTCTTCCTTTCAGTAACAATTTTTTTTTTATAAAAAAAGCAACCCTAGCTCCTGTTTGGAATGTTATTCCCAGGCTCAAAATGTTTTGTGAACAAGTACGACCGACTCCACTGCTTCTAGCAAAATGTTTTGCCGACAGAACTGGAATATTTTCGAAACAGGGCATGGCAGGTCTAAAGGAAGTAATAGAGCTCCAGAGCTATTCTAAAAATTCTGACATCGTAACAGCATAAACAAGACTCTCGACCATGATTTAGAATCCGTACACCAATGAACCCACGTACCTTCCCTCTCATATCCTAATAAGTGCGTTCGCCCGATCTTCTATAATGAAGAAGAGAAATACCAACTCAACAGAAAAATCCATCACCGGGTGTGTTTCTGCTTGAATTAAAATAATAAAGCCTTAATATCTAGAAAGAAGACAGCCTTCGTCTACTATCATGGACAAAAACACAAGAGACTGCCTTTGAAAGCGTCTCGGCATAATCAATTTCGCAGTCGTATCTTATCTCGACGTGCCGCGATAGCGTGTACATTGAACATCAAGGTAATAGTCGATACACCAAGTGCCTACCAATTCCCAATGATTGGCTCCACCCCCGAAAGTTCAAAAGACACAGTAAGTACTAAGCAAGGAGTGTCGTCTCATAAATATATTCAACAACTGCCTGTCTTTGGTGACATCCCATTCCGGGGTTTGGGGAAGGGCTTTGGTAATGTACACTTACATGAAGCGCCAGCAACACATTCCCGGAGCGAGCCACAAGGACAGAACTCAATCTCGGACAAGGCGCATGCTGAACTTACGGAGACTCATTTGGCGCTGAATATGACCGAGACCGTCCAAAGCACCTTGAAGCCTCCTGCTCAATGCACCTCTAATACATCAGCAAAAACGACTGGTTGCCCACCAGCAAAAACTCAAACCGAAATTCACGGACCCAAAGTTTTTGGTGTTTCACTACCTGTTGCATCAGATGAGAGCGAACTGCTAGTAGACATTCAAAATGTGGAGGTACCCAAAACGGCCATAAACAGTGATTCGCAAACCTCAGCTGACAAAATAGCCTCCACCAACAAACCCGAGAAAATAGAGCAGGAGAAATCTGCATCAAAGTTTCACCCGACAATGGATGGTGCAAAAGCTAGCTTGGGGCTTGGAAGTGCGCAAAGCCTCAGCTTGAAGAAGCTCAATTTAAACGATTTGACTGGCTTTTTAACCATTGACCAAGCCAGGGAATACTATCCGTGGATTGGTACTTTCCACCCCGAAAACTGTATCCTTCATCCGAGCGTCCCATTTTTGGCCGTATTATTCAACGAAACTGGGACCTGGAGCAAGGAGCACATCTTGCTTCTTGCTACCAACAACGACCTCTCTGACCAAGTGAACTGGGAAATACGCGTGGCGTTGTTTTTCAAAACAAACCACGCTAGAAGACTTGAGCTTTTTGAATGCTTATGCTCTCTTCCAAGGGAAGAGGCCTTAATGATTATTGCTTTACGTACTGCCGAGGCTGCGCATGAAGTGATCCTTGCGCCTTCTATGGACTGTGATCTCTCAGGTGTCAGTAAAGCATCTACTGTAGATGCCATAAAGAGTTTAGTGTCCCTGTTGTATGAAGCACTTGAGAAAAAAGTCGAGGACGCCGAAATGCGCTGCAATGAAATTCAAGGTCGTATTCTGTTGGCTAACCTCACTGAATCTGATGTGTGGTGGAACCTCAACTTCGAGGATCGGCTGCTTCTTAATGACTTGGCGAAAGCTCGAATCTTACTTTGGCAGTTGAGCACGTGCTCACCATACTTTCTGGTGCACACTGGTCTTGTGCACTTGAGAATTACTCTATGGGAGCCTTCATGCCCGATTGCGGTGAAGTTCCATGATATTGTGAGACACCTGTCCCCGTTTGCTAGCTTGAACCAAAAGGGTGCTGATGATAGATTGCATTTCTCCAAGCAATACGGAATTATTCTGGCCTTCTTGTCGGATGTCTCAGTTGAGGTTTCCGTAGACGGTAAGTCCAGGTCACTAATTTTCAGTGCAGTCAAAAATCTAGATTCATTGGTGCCCTTTGAACTCCTCATTTCGCAAGAACAAAAGTCTCTGGCAGCTAGCTACATGCGTTCCGTGACATGCCCATCATCCTCGGTCTACTTTGTGGCCCCCCCGGCTCCCATCAACAAAACCAAAACATACTACTCCATCGAAGGTCTTATATCACCAATGGAGATGGCGCCCAAGAAAAATACATTCGAATCATGGCCTTCGGCTATCTCTTTGAGCAAATTTGCCAGATTCTGCTCCTTTTGCTTGTCTTTGGAACACCTGCTCGACACTTGTCCTGAAAATGCTGCGTCTTTTCTGAATTTCAGCAAGAACAATAGCATTGCTAAAGGACGGTCCTCAGGTTCAAAATTAATCAATAATGAGCAGGCTACCACGAGACACATCAAGGCCAGGAAAGATTTGTCTTTTCAAAAATAAATACACGCCTAACTAACAGACCACAAACATTATATGGCAAACCACTGAGTGTTTAAGCACATCATTTCAACACTAGCTTGCGCTTCTCAAACGTGAGGCGCCCTGAACAACAATGTGAGCATTTTCCAAATGAATTTCATGAACACGAAGACAGGCTTACAGATGTTTGCACCAATCCAGACTAGACGAAGAAACACTACAATGACGTTCTCCAATGCGATGTAAAGTAACTTGTGGCTGGTAATGTCGTAGATCTGATCTTCCTGATCAGCGATGGTGGAGCCGCCCATCACACCCCCAAAGAAGGAGCGACTGAGCTTGTCCAATTTTTCATTAGTTCTTCTCAACTCCATGATTAACGACGTGTTTAGTTCCCCGTACGATCTGTCAGTAGCGCTCAACAAATTGTCGATTTTGACTGCACAATTGTCGTTGGCGAGATGCATGATGCTTTTGGCTTCCTCGATGTAGCCTTTGTATATATTTTCTCTTGCTGGTAGGTGACCTGCGTTGGTTTGGTTGATGGAGCGGAGTAAGCGGCGCATGTCGTCTCGAAGTAGTGCGCTCAACTTCAAGCTGGTGGACAGCAAGAGCGCTGGGTAAACCGAGCCTAGCATATTGTGTCTCAAGCGGGAAAGTGCGTTGAGGCGTTTGAGTTGTTTTTCTACTGTGCGGAGCTGTAGTTCGTCTAGGATAAGAGCACTTGGAGGGCCAGCCTCGTCAATGCTTTCGGTGCTCAGTTTAACAGAGCTCCACTCAAAATGCTGCACCAGGGGATTTTTCTGGTGGGCCGAACCGAAAAACACGTCGTGAATATTTCCTGCGGCATCCTTCGTCTCGTCCGCATCTGATTCGTCTTCTTCAAGAATATCGGAGTTCAGTTGCTGGGTAGAAGAGTGCCCATCATCAATGACAATCAGGGGCGGCGGGAGCATGCCATTGGTGGCCATGCCTTGGAGGGAAGAGTCTTGCTTCTTTGAGTTTGACAGGCGAGGCTCTACCTGGTACAGGTATGCTTGTCCTGGATCCACTTCTATTGGGTCAATCTCTCGCGAGTCACGATCTGTCGGATCATGGTCCTCGCTCATGAACGCGCGGAAATCTCCGTCGCTACCGAGCCTAAACTGGTGGAGCTGGCTCGACGGATCTGCAGAGCTGGCCATCCCGACACGAGCGATTTTCACGGCGGAAAGGCCATCCCAGGAGCGCAGCGGTGCATGTTGCGGATCGTGAGAGGGTCGGAGGTCGATGGCGGACGAGCTGCGGGACCCGTAGAGGCGTTTTGCGCGGTCCCTCCAGTGGCTCCGCGAGCCCTTTGCCGACGCCTGCTTTCCCAGGCTTTGGAACGGGATCTCGAGCAAAAGACGCTCGTCGGTGGACCGACTGCTGTCCGAGTCGTTCCAGAGCCGGTCGTGGAGCTTCTTCGACGCATGGCCGTGTCTCGGTGTGGTTTCACGCGGCAGAGCCGCCCCCGGGTACCAGAGATCGCCGCTGGGGGTGCGGAGCTGGGCCCAGTGGGCCTTGCGCCAGGCGTAGTCCGCGACGAACTCGCCAAGGTCGATGCCCCAGAGCATTTTCCAGGGCTTGCTGCCCACGTGCGGGTGCGAGGAAAACGCGTCGCAAGGCAACGGATGCGCGGCGGGCGGCGGCATCGGCTGGTGGAGTTTCTTCCGGGTGACGCGGTTGCGGAGCACCTGGAGCGGGTTGTAGCAGCGGTCGAGCCCCGGGGAGGGGGCCGGGCCTGCCTCAGCCGACTCGGCCATGCGCTGGATCCACGTGAACTTCAACTCGAGCGACGCCTTGACTTGGTCTGCCCGGCGCCGAACGGCGGGCGATATCTGCACCGGCTTGTCTCCCTGCGCCGCGGAGCGCGGCGCGGCGGCGTTCCCTGGCCCCGCGGCCATGATGTTGTACCGGGACCGGACGGCACTGGCCGAGGCGAGAAAGAACGTGGCCATCTGCTGGCTGTGCTTGAGGTGCGAGTCCTGGGGCTCGTGTGTGTCGGCCGGGGCGGCGCCGGCGGCGGGGAAGTCGACGTCGAATTTGAACCCGGCGTCGAGGGCCGGGCTGCGGGCCTCGATGTGCTTGCGGCGGGGCTTTTTGCGGCGGGCGGCGCCGTGTTTGGGCGTGGCGGCGGGGGCTAGTAGCGGTGTTTCGGGCGACATCGACGACATGTGGAGGGCTTGCAAGGGGCCCGCCAGCAGCACCACAGACAGGCCCGACAGACTAGCCGACGGGCACAAACGGAGGTCCTGGGGCGCAGAAATGGCCATGGCCAGGCGGGGCGGGGTTTTGGGGTGGCAACGCACGAGCTGGTGGTGGGCGCCGAGGTAGAAAGTCCAGGGCCGCGGGAGTTAGTTTAGGGCCGCGGGAGATAGTCTAGGGCCGCGGGTCCTGGAAAGTCGCGGCACGCCCCGCAGCCTCAAGAGGCAGTTTTGCTGGACGGGGTGGAGGGGCCAAAATCGGTGCAGCGCAAGTGGGGGAAGAACAGGGAGCAGGCACTGTAACGTAAGTATAGTGTGAGTGGGGTTTGGGACGGAAAGGTAAAACAAAGAAGCGTGGGTGGATTTGGGATGGGGAGGGAAAGGAAGAAACAGTTGGGCGGGAACTTTAGAGCGCAGCGGGCAGCCGCGCGGGGATACAGGCTGCCATCCGCGCGGGCTCTCTATCTGCGGCCCTTTTTTCGCAGCCGCCCATCACACTGGCCCTACCGTGCAAGTATATCCTAGGGTGGGTATGTTCAGGCACTGCCCACTGGCAAACAAAAGCAGATTTCATTAATATTATACAGAAAAAGTTACAGTCTGTCTTATCAAAGCAATCTCTGGGTGCGCTTTGCGTGGCTGTTGGGGTTCACGAGCCAACTAAGGGAGTCAATAAAGATACAAAAGTTCAAAATAATCAATTATGGATATCTGAGCTGGGAGTTATTGAGCAAAGGTACCAAAAAATTCATTTATTCGATATCAACATTCCCAATGGTCCGATTTTGCAGGAGTCAAGGTCAGTAGAGGCGGGTAATAAGATTTTGTGTCCCTTCCCAGTTAGCGACAACGCTCCTGGATTCAAAGTAGGATTTTCCATTTGCTACGACATTCGCTTCCCTGAATTAGCCGCACGACTCAGACAAATGGGGGCTAATATTCTCACTTATCCTTCAGCGTTCACGACAAAAACAGGTGAGGCGCATTGGTTAGAACTAGGACGCGCCCGTGCAATTGACTCCCAATGTTATGTGGTTATGGCCGCGCAATGTGGCGAACATGATATATAC